GGGCCGCAGCAGCTCAAAGCTGCGGCCCCTCTGGATTAGACCCGGGTGAGTGTCCCTGGGTGGCCTCCCCCATGCTGCTACTGCCACGCTATGGGACTGGCCTCTGTCTCCTCTTCTAGAACTTGGGGATAAGAAACCACACCAGGAGGTGTGTGATGAGGATGTGAGACCACCAGACCCAGGCCTGGCGCCAGGAGGACCTTAGAGAGGAGCATGCAGGCAGGTTCCCGGGCCAGTGCCGCTCAACGCCCAGGAAAGGGGCTGAGGGCGGGTAAGGTGCAGCCAGGCCTGCGGAGGCCCTGGGGCCACAGGGCATCGGGCAGAGTATGGGGCTGGGGAAGGCCTTTGGACCACCTTAGAGGGCACCCTCCCTCGCCTCTATTGTGGGGTACACTGTGAAGCCCAAGCAGAGCCGTGGGGCTTCAACCCCTGTGCCTCTGAACGTGACTCTGTGTGGGAACAGCGGGGCTTCCTCTGTGTGAGAGTAAGCAGGGAGGACTCTCAGCCCTCTGACAATAGCTCAGAGGGGCAACTGGGCAGACAGAGCCTATAAGAAGGAGCAGGGACAGAGGCTGACACAGGGGCCCTCAGGGACCTTTGAATCCATGTCCCCCTCCACCCCCATCCAGGGCAGCCCCACAATAGGGTGCTCCCATGTGACCCCACACGTTTCCTCGGGAGCAGAGTGTCTGGGCTGACTCCAGGGCAGCCCTGACCCTGACACCCCCCAGCCCTGACCCTGACACCCTCCAGCCCTGACCCTGACACCCCCCAGCCGCTAGCTTGTGAGGGAACAGGAGCCAATCCAATGGATCAGCCGTGCAGCTGGGGCTAGGCTGAGCTCCAGCAAGCAAGACCCCTGTGTCCCCCACACGGCCTCCCACCCCCTATGAGCCCAGAACCAGTGCTGACGGTGAGCCAGGGGCCAGAGCGCAAGGCCACCCTCCCTCCCCACTGATGATTTTGATGAGGGGACATGCCTACTGGGATGGGGGAGGGGGATCGGGGCTCCTGGTGCACAGCGTGGTGGAGGGGAGGTGGCCAGTTGGGTGCCGCCTGGATGTGTGGGCCACACCTGCGCCCTTGGCAAAGCCCCTCCTCTAGTTGGCCAGCCCTGACTTCCTCGGGTGGAGGTGGTCTCCAGGAACCCCCTCAGGCCCTGTGTGCCCCCACCCTGTAAGCACGCTCCCTCTGGAACCCTGGGACAGGCAGGTCTTCATGCTAGGGGTCTTGGGTCCCTGGGCTGTGACCAGTCAGAGGTGATCCCATCATCCCCAAAGGGGAGGGGAGTCTGCTGGCAGCTGGGCCAGGCAGGGAGCAGGGAGGGGTGACACAGCAGGGCACTCTGGCCGCAGGTCCCCTGGCGGCTTCCTCAGTGAACATTGGTCTCAGAGTGGTCTGGGTGTAGACTCCATTCTCCTGTCTTGCCCAGAGGGGCAGATGGGCCAGGGAGAGCTCCTGTCCCTCTCCTGTCCCGTGAGGGGAGGCGCTGTGTGCCTTAGCGACACCTGTGCTGCAGTAGCAGGCAGGTGGGGCCTACGCCTTCTGCTGGGGTATGGGGACGGGGCCTTGAAGTCCAAGCCAACAGTTTTCAAAGTCCCACAGCTCCACTGGGGAGAGTATGGAGTCGGGGTGCTGCAGGTGTGGAGGGGGCCCCTGGGGGCCCCAGAAGAGCCCAGGGAGCGGGCGCCGGTCTGCCCGCGCACGTGGGGCGAAGCAGCTTAGTTCCCGGTTTCTGGAGGCGGGGCGGGGGGGCAGGCAGGAGTAAGGGATCGCCAGACCCTCCCCCGGCCGCCAACGGGAGCGCCCTCCAGAAGCAGGCAGCCCACCCAGGAGCCTGCCACGTGGGCCGCAGGGGCTAGACGGCCGGTTTCAGCTCTCCCACCAGCCCGATCTCATCCAAGCCCCTGCGGTTTGGGGGCGCTGCCGCCTGCGATGGCCGACGTGTGGAAGGGTTGGGGGGTGGGAGACACACGGGACCGAAGGGGAAGAGAAGGTATTGGGATGCGCGCATGGAGTCAAGGTCGGAGTCCCCACCCCATTCCCGAGGCCCGCTCCACACCCCAAGGCTATCTGGGATAAATGGGGGGCGTCAGGCCACCGCAGAGGCAGAGGGCAGCCAAGCGGAGGGCCTCCTGAGGGGCGGGGTTATACATAGAGGGGGCGTGGTCTGTAACTGGTGAGGGAGGAGCCACGGCGGGGGCAGAACTAGAGCGTCCAGGTTGGGACCTGGCAGAGCCGGGCTAGGGGCGGGACCAGAGAGGCCTGGAGCCTCTCTGAAGGGAGGAGCAGAGGCGGGGAGGCCGTTCAGGGCTGGGCAGGGACCTGAGGGATC